TACTACCGTTCGAATCAGCGTGAAAAGTTGTATTTACAGATGTCAAATGTATTACTAAACAACAGTATTCTAGCGATTTATGGCCTTTGAAAGACAAGCGAAATTGTATTGTTCCGCACATCGCTCACAATTATTAAACTAATTAAAAATGCAATACATTTGACCCTGACATAGAATAGGACCCTGATAACTTCGTATTGTTGCAGGTTTTATCTTTTTCGGCCGTATACCAGTGGCTAGTCTCACTTTTCTCTTTATTTTGTTAGTAGTTTAAGCCCAAAATATTATATTTTGAAGGTTTTAATGACCTTTAATGTGCAGTTTTAATAAGCGAAATTCTATTGTTGACAAATCGCTCAAAATTATTCAACTATATTCTATAATTAAAAGTGCAGTCCGTTTGATCCTTGATAATTTCGGAATTGTTGGTTTTCTTGTTTTCGGCCGTATGCGAGTGGATTCGTCTCACTTTTCTCCTCAATTTGATAGTATTTTGAGCCAAAAAATTTTATTTCGAAGGCTTTAAAACGCAGTTTTGATCCTAACGTACGGCCAACTGACGGCCGACAGGAGAATTATAACTTTACTTGAGTACTTGACTTGTGCATGTAGGCGGAAACGCCGAAAGTTTTCATTTGTAAGCGGGGCCAGCGGGCACCGCATTTTAGTATTGTGTCTGTTTTCATAGGCGTACCGGGCGGGGGGGGGGGGCGTACCAGTCGGGCAATTTTGGTTTGCAATAAAAAAAAATGGGACAAATTCTGTCAATTTTGTCTAAAATTAAGTCAATTTTTTGGCAAATTTTGTGATTTTTCGAAAATTTGTGTTATGTTCCGAAAAATATTGGTTGTCCGGAAAATTTTTTTGACCCCTAAAATGGTACACTGATTTTTCTTATTTTCGAATTTAAAGTTCAAGAAATTTACTACTAAATGGTGCCGGACGGCTTTGCTAGCTGAACTGTAAATTTTAATGTTTGTGCAAAGTACTTGACTGTTTATTATGCAAGCTTTGTAGGCCTATTTTACCGATGAAATCGACATAGATCTTTACGTTCTTTTAAGCACGTGACGAATTAATTAGTTAACAACACATTAATGACTTAAAAGTCTAAATTTAAGATTCAATCAGAAGGCATGGCATATGCTTTTTAGAGTTTTCAGAGCTTTTTGCGGAATGTGGCGTTTCGAGAGCTACAATCTTTACAGAAAGTATAGTCAAAAACTACTGGTTATTTGAAAACTGTAGTTCGCTACAGTAGTGAACTACAACTACTTCTTTACTACCCACCCTTGATTTTTCATCATGGCCATGGGGGCAATAGGTCTTATACGCTAAAAAAATTCCGAAAGAATAATTAATAATGACATTCTAGAAGTCGCCCATCAATTCAGGTAAATACTAGATTGTAGTTCTAATTATTTTTATGTCTTAATGTGTCATGTCAGGCTTTATAAATTAACAAAAAGCAAGTTCGAGGTTGCTATGTAGAATATATTAAAATAAAAGTGCAAAATGTTTTAAAAATTATAATATCACTTGCTGCCTTAAGCCTTAAAATATAAAGCCACGTTCAGTAAGATCGGTCGATTTCGTCGTGGTATATGCACATGTGTTTTGGTTAATTTTCCTACGTTAAATCAATTAAGTGATGTAAGAATATCGGATATTTAACAGTTATTCAACGAACTCGAGTCGAATATGAGCTGATAGCCGATGAGGCGCGTAGCGCCGAATCGGCTATCGCTCGTATTCGACAAGAGTGAGTTTTATTATATACACTAAATAACACAAGGTCTGAATTCACAGACTTTGCTTTTCGGATATTTTCAATATTTTTCTATTAATTTTTATGTTTTTATAAAAAACTCTTTCGGCCAAGTATTTTTTCCAAAAACATATATTTTTAACCATTCTAAATTTTAAAAATTCATTTGCTAACCTTCAAACAATTTGTGGGAGTTTTTTCGCTGTGTTTTTAATCCTGTAAAGGCTATAAAAAGCGAACAACTTGCCATTTTCTCGTTCGCAAAATGTCGGAAATTCAGTTTGAGCCGCCATTTTGTTTTTCTCTACTAGCAAGATATGAGCTAATATCCTGCTAGTAGAGAACCAATCAGATTGCAGAGTACCTCATATCCAGACCTTGTGTATATAATAAATTTGTATATACTTCTAACAAGATTTTATCCGAACTCGAACTGAGTAAAAAAAACGGAATTGCTGTTTTGAAATTCTATTTTGGTAAAATATTAAGCTTGCATAATAAACAGTCAAGTATTTTGCACAAACAATAAAACACTTCAGCTAGCAATTAAGCCGTCCGGCACCATTTAGTAGTAAATTTCTTGGACTTTAAATTCGAAAATAAGAAAAATTTACTGCTTTAAATCCGAATGCAATAAAAATTGAAGCAAATAACGGTCTTTCATTACAGTTTATATTTACCGCCTAACTAAATGTAATTTGCTAATAAAACACAGAAAGTTCGAGGTTGTTGTGCGGAATCTAAATAAAAAGCGCAAAATGTTTTTATCAATCCTTTTTATACATCCTTAGATTAGTAGATTGGAATAGAAGCTTTAGGTTTTTAGTGCTGGACTTAGGAGATCAAAGCTATTTTCTGAGGGTCAGTTTGTAGTGATTTTAAGAAGGCCGTAAAGCGAGTATCATTGCGTATTTTTTCCTCCCCCCGCATTTCTCTTAACATTCAAAATTTCACTTGAATTTTGCACTTAAATGAATGAACAAGACTGAGAAAAAAGATCATGGTGCAAAGTTCTATATTCCGTGAGCTGTAATGTTTTAAATATGTGTAATTTTCAGTCGACGAAAAGTGCAAATTCAGCGAACACGGTCGCCTGGAGCTAAAGCGCTGTAAAAAAATTATTTTTATGAAAATTGAAAAACCAAAGTCAGTTTCATAACTCACTGGTATGTGCTATTTCACGGTAAAAGTTTGGGAGAAAACTATGTTCTGATCCGAAATGCAGTGGACCGCTTTTACAGAGACTGCCTCTTAATTGTTTGTTGTTTAATTGTTCGTTGTTCGTTGTTCGTTGTTTGTTGTTTGAGTAGAATGCATGGGAACTTGTCAATATAAATGACCGTAAATGGTTAATTATAAGCACAACATTGTTCTCATATGTAATTGAATTTCTTTGTCTTCAAATTCCAGCAAAAATCGTGAGCTTTTGACGAGAACTCGCCCCTTGGTACATTTCAATTTGCAGATTGCTTTAGGATTGACGCAGCTTGTTTTTCTTGCCGGAGGGTATGCCACACGTAACGAGGTTAGTAATTGAAACTGTTTTAAACCGCGATTATGCGATGTAGAGCTGTGCGGATAGCCGGTGTATTTCGCTATTTTTTCAGCGCGAAGAGTTTTCACCGAGCATAAAAGAACAGGTATTTTTATTTTTCCATGCACGTGTCGCTGCTTCCTGTCTGAGAAATAACAAAATGTCACCCGAAGCTAAGCAAGATTTATTTATTTATTTTCGTGCTGAGCGCAAGCAAAGACATTACTTTTGCGATAATTTTATTTCAGAATACTCTAAGACTAAAAACACTCTCGTTAAAACTTCCTCGTTGACCTAGAAATAACACAACTTGGACTAATGTCTAATTTGTAACCAGGAAAGTGGGAAACTAGTTAGATTTGACCAGGACGTCTTTGTTAAAATAACCAGACAATGTTAGGTGGATATATAACAAGGCCCCCTGGTTAGTTGTCCACCTAATACAGTCTGATTAATTTAACCAGCAAGTACTGATCAAATTAACCAGACTTTGGTAGGAAAAAGCTAAGATTAAAATAACCAGGAAATTTAACTATGAATATAACGAGTCAGTTTTTAGCGTGTATTAGAATGCGTAAACAGAAATGGCTGATTTGCTTTAGTCAGGCGTGGAGGCTGTGACTGGAGGACATCAGTTTTAGCAGAATTTACAAACGTCATTATCGCGTCTGGCGCGTGGAAAATTCATGAATTTTTTACATGCTATGACATAAAACAACACTTGTTTTTATAGCGAAACTTTCTACGTTTTAAGATATAGCTATTGTAGATAACTGTAAATATTTTGAATAAAAAGATGAAAAATAGCAATTGTAGGATTTTTTTTCTTTTGAAAATACCACAACCGACAACGAACCGAGGTCCTTCCACCCCAAAAAACCTAAACCAGGACGGAGATGAAATTCTAGAACCGCACAGCTTTAATAATACGAAGCAATATTTCGTATGCTATTACAACATCGTCGTCTTTCTTAAACTTTGTGTGATCATATGCGTTAAAAATACAACTTACCTATCCCAAATTGAAAGCTGTCGTCGAAACTTTTTAATGGATATAAATAAGTAAAATTAGTTAATTAACGCAGTCAAAAGATTTGTGATATAGTCCCATTCTTCTTTCTTTAACCCATTCTTCTTGCTTTAAACGATATATAATAAAGTTTACGCACCTTGTCCAGATTTGGAAAAAAAGTAATTGGAAATTGTATGAAAAATGTGAATTTAATATAATTTCATACAAATTATCTTTTTTTTTCATTCTTATAGGCAGCTTGTAAAGTTGTGTCAATCTTGGCGCATTACTTTTCCATGGCTGGTTTTACATGGATTCTCCTTGAAGCTGTAATGTTGTACCTAAAATTAATTTCAGGGTATGGGTATGGTTGGGAGTATGTGAGAATGGACAACTTCCTGATATTTGGTTGGGGTATGTTTTATGTCTGTAAAGATATAATTAATACACGACATCATTGTCTAGTCATTTATGATTTAAACTGGCGCCTTTCAAATGTTTAGCATATTTCAACCTTATACGGACATGAATAGAATACAGAAGAGGGGTTCTGGATCGGGTGGAGCAGTAGAGCTTCACCCATGACGTTATGAGCAGGGTTCTGGACCGGTGGTGCACGCCCATGATGTCATCTTGGGCAGATTTCATGGATCATGTGGAGCAGTACAACTGCATGCACTCATGACACCGACAGCGGAGTTCATGTTTTAACAAACGGCGGTTCAGAAACTGGAGATGCGAGTTTGGATCTCGGTCGAGACAACCACTTTTTTGTTTGTTTCTGTGCCATCAATCTTTCCAACCGGTGAAGAAACGTACAGTTTGCAGTTTGTTAAGACTCAGACCATCCTTTCTTACAAGATGGTTATCGTTGTTAAAATGTTTTACGCTAGTACTTACCTTATTTTGTTTAAAAAACGTTTACATAACTATTTACAAAGTGCAATGAAAATAAACTTGGTTAATGTCCATTGTCCCTAATTATCTGGTTAAATCTAGCCTGCTAGATTAATTGTCCAATAATTAGTTATGTAGCTGGTCAAAAATGTCCAGATTACAATAAGTGTTTTACACTTACAAGTAGAAGATAGGCCCCCACATCATTACCAATTAAAGTAAGGAGAAGTTCCTTTCGGTGTTTATTAACCAATAAGGCAAAAGGCATATATTCAAGATAGGTTCAGAGGAAGAAATTCATATCCCCCGCATAAGCAGGCTTCTGCATCGTTTGAACAGGAACCAATTTTGGTGGAGCAGGGAACGATGAAAGTTTCTTAGCCGAGGCCAGATATTTCCATACATGTAGAAGGTTAAAAGACTGATAATCCGGTTCTACAGTTTACCCCCTGGCTCCTTTGGCTGGGAAGGCGTATATAGGCTCCCAGAGATAACATACACTTAATGTGTGCACCCGAGGGAAATAGTTTGCTTTGCTTTCCCGAGAATCTCAATGTTTCCCGAGACGAAGTCGGTTTGCTTGTTGTGTATTTTTCTTCACTTTTACATTCTTTATTTGAACACAAACTTAGAAAATCGTAGTTTCTAATTATGCTACAGTAGTTGTGCCGCTATTTTGTTTATTTATGTACGTAGCCGGTCGGGGCGGGCAACAAATTATCACTTGTTTGCCCGGCGGGATACATTTCATTTATCTGACGTTACGTGACCACAAATCAGCCAATCACATTTGGTGTTCACCCTAGCTGTATAACAAGCTCGATTATATATCATCTGGGTGGGTCTCGGTGCGAACGACCGTAAAAGCCCATTTCCGAAGCTCGTCCTCTTCATCCAATATGAGAGGATGGACAAAGGAAACGTTTTCCGGTACCGTTCATGTTACCGCAATGGCAAAAACTTGACATTCTTGGCGAACACGTGCTGTTCCTCTGCAGGGGTTTTCAAGACTCACAGACGAAGCGCTGACGGTCGAACTCTACACAGGACATGTCCGACTTCGTTTGTTTAGCAGGTTGATTGGCATCGTTGTCCGGTTTGCGTGGTCCATTCTCCGCTTCAACGTTACATGGAATGGTCGTGGAGGTTTCTGCTATAGAACCAGACGAGGAGGATGAACTGATAAAACTTAAACGGTAGATAACCGAGTCGTGGGAAGGGTAGGGTACAGGACGGGGGCGGCCATTGAACCAGGAACGGAAATTTGAGGAGTTGTATCCATACTATTCAAAGGCAAATCTTCAGTAGAAGGTTCCTCGATAATAGAGGGACGCTGAGTCGTAGTTCTCTTTGAGACAATTCTTTGAGAGGTGACCAACTTGCTCACATCGAAAGAACTGGTGGTGGTGGTGGTGGTGGTGGTGGTGGTGGTGCTGCTGCTGCTGCTAATCTCGGTAAAAACATTAACGAGGTAATGGTTCATGGTTATTCGGGTTGGTACGGGGTTTTAGTAATCTCCATATGAACAACATAGCAGGAAATTGTAATGCCTTGTACCATCTCACGTTTAATTTTAAAAAAATTCCCATGCTGACTCAAACGAGTCTTCTTCGAGCATTCTCTGAAGTTCCATACACAACACGTGTCAGTTTACCCAACTGCATGTTGGAAACAGGTTTAAACTCGATTGTTGACCACGAAAACAAAACCAGCATGGAACAATTCCTCAGCATTCCGTAATGGGCGACAAAGTCTCAGCACCGGACTGCATCAAGTTCTCAATAATCTGGGGAGCTGTAGGCATTTGTTTGCAGAAATGATCGAAATATATCACATCATAGATTATTGTATTTTATATAATTTAGAATATAATACAGTATGAGAACATTTCTATATTTCTATTTTATATAAATCATCTTACCTTAAAACACAACTAGTGTGAATTTGTACCAGTGCAGGGCTACCGCAATCAGCGAACATTTCATCTATTTTAATTCCATTAACCACAGTTGGACAAAGCCACAAAGGACTATTCTTCTGATTGTCAAACTATCCGTAAAACTATAAACATGAACTTCACGGCATTCAAGTTCAACACACGGTAATCCTTCCTGAATCAAGAGCAAAAGCTGTTTTGATCCACAGTGAACAAACAGAAGCTCGTGTCCACCCGAAAACAAAGCTTTCCACGTATAGTGCAAGAATTCACCATTTTACATTTTTTTCTATAATTTTTTCTGAACCTCTCGAAACCTCGAAGTGTAAACGCAGCGAAAACCGACTGAACCATGCGGACAGCGCAGAGCGAGAAATCGATAATATGTAATAACCCGCGTTGCATACCGGCATAGCCCTCACTCCTCCTCTGATAAGTACCCAAACAATCTATATTTATAAAAAATTTCATCACATGAACGGATTTGTGAATATTGTCTACTTTATCTTGACATACACCCTGTATAGCGGGACAAAAAGCGATATCAGTGACGATATAATTCTACTTGAATATAACACGTCTTTATTTAGCGCTTGTATCTGAGAGAATTTTTCTAATAACTAATATTTTTTTATAATAAACAGGATTCCCTGTAGTGATAGTTTGTGTATCTGGTGCGATAAGGATTGATGCTTATGGTACGGATCAATGGTAACTGAAATTTTAATTTAATTTGTTTCTCATAACATTATATTCAAGTGCGACAACTTATTTTCCAAAAACTAAGGGGACGAAGTCAGGCAACAGAGGTAATTTATTATAGATTATATAACGAATGTCCAAAAAGTGAGGGAGACGCGACTCCACACTCCCCTCCACCGCCCCCCCCCCCCCAGGATTGTTGCCCTTGAGTATATTTGAACGTTTCATCATTACAATATTTAAAATACCCAACGTTTATCTCAAAGGTTGAACATACTACATTGCGTTCCACGTAATGTTTTTCAGGTGTTGGCTGTCTTACAAAGATGGATTTTTATGGGTATTCTTTGCACCGATGGTCATCATAACATCAGTATGGTTCTGTATATAACATTTTATCTCAGCAAGAAGATAGGTCTTCGAAGACGCTGCAACATCGAAACCGACTGTATATAACAGAAAGAGCGACAGCAAGGCCACAGTTACACGATATCGGATTACTCTCGTAGCGGATTACTTTCCTAATAATATACATAAAAATTTTACTCGGCTGTGATTGGTTGATTTCAGTGCAGTTAATCCAAAACAGCAGTGCAATTTTATGTAATCACAGTTCAATTTTCTGTAATCACTGTGCAATTTTTTATAATCACAGTGCAATTTTTTGTAATCACAGTGCAATTTTCTGTAATCTCAGTGCAAAAATCTATAACAAACTTATCTGATTGGTGGAAAAACAATGTGATGATAAAATCAACCAATCAGTAAAGCAGTTTAGTTTAAAGAAGTAACAAAACAAACATGGCCAAAACAAAACGAAACAAACATGGCGCCGCGCTACATAGAGTAAAAGTTGACTTCGGTATGGAAAATATGGCTTTTATCGTTTTTTAAATGGAAAAGCTTTTACCTTAAACAAGACTAACAAAACCTAAATAGTTGAGTGGAATTTTCAAGCTGTTAGCGTTGTATAATGTGATATAACAAAGCCAGCAAAATGTTGCCAGTGGACGATTCGCTATAAACGTACGTTAAAACTACAATTGTCTCGAACAATTTTATGTAAATTATTAATAAGTAATAACATGGTTATGATGGTTTCACGTGAAATTTGGATAAACATGCATTCGTGAGGTTTTGAGGTCGTTGAAAAACTCACTCGTGCATGTTACATCCAAATTGCACTCGAAACCATGCTATTACCTACTAATTTTGGTTACACGATACCATGGCAATCGGCTGCGTGGCACTGCCTAAGGATCAGTCCAATCTGGAAGTGATATGAAAATTAATCCAACACGTCCCGGGCACCGTGTAACTGGTCGAATCCGATACGTTCTACTAAATTGGCTTGGTTGTTCCACTGTCAGAAAGCGTTTCCGCATCTCAGGAAGCATTAAATCGATTTTCTGAAACAAATATTAAGATTCTTGGCCAGTTTTGAGTATCAAGTTAGTTTATTATATTTGGGCTTTTCTTTTGGATTGTCGGTATTTGTTAATTTAACCTGAAATTCAGGCCCTAATTTTGAATAGGGCCTGACACAAAACCTGTCTAGACCATGGGACGCCCACATGTTATTTTTAGACACCGTCATGCAATATGATTGACAAGTGTTGCATAGATTTCATTTCACAAAAAAATTTCAATTTATATTCTCATGAACATGTCCGCAGAGTGTGCATTTTGCTTTTTAATTAAACTTAAAAATTCAAGGTACTTTTATATAATTAAAAGTTCAGTTTCTCTATAACCGAACAGCAAACAAAGATTATAATAAGTCAGTTATGTGCACGGCTTGAATGCGCGCGCCCAAGCTTTCTCAAGGTCTCAACTTGCTGGATGCAGCTATACTCTAACCAACCTCGTACCCAGGCTATTTTCTCTTATGCTCGGTGCACGGCCACCTGCTGAGAAAATACCCTGTTATTGTCTGGTCACGTGTCTCCCAGAATCTGAGAGGCAACAATCAATTTTAATTAGGGTGGATGACTAAGAACGTTTTGTCACTGAGCAAGGAGTGAGGGAAGAAATAACGCAGAAATCATGCAGGAAATATTTACAAGAATGCATAGTTTATTTGTCATGAATGCTATCCAGTTACACAATAAGGAATATCAAATTTCATTGTGCGCAGAATCCCGGAGAGCAAAGATAGATCAGATTTCAATAGACAAATTATGCTATACCGTTACGGGTCGTCGAAGAAATCACACGTCGTCGCAAACGTTATAAGAAAATATATTGCTACACCGACCGATATGGCTGTTATTTAGCTGTTGATCTCTATCCTAAAGGATTTATTTAATACTGAGATGTGGAATTGTAACGAAATAGAGAGATCTTTTGATTTCTGAAATATCGCAAACTACAAACGGAACAAACCTTGCTTGTAAACAATGCTACTTGGACAGTCGGACTGTTATTATGTAAAAGCGCTGTGAAATTTCCAAATTCCAACATTGCCATTGACTTCACTGAAACTTGATACTCAAGAAATATGTCGAAGTATACCTACCTGTTATCAAACCTACGGTAAAATAATCCGACAATAGCCTCAAAGATAAGTCAAAGACTCTTCTAGCTGTGCGTGTATGTTTATACAAATACAAATACTGTATGTGACTGCATAGAGGGCCCCCTATACCTCTTCACAATATGCTTTCACGTAAAAATATTTTGCCTTTTCACGAGTCACGGATTAAGAAAATCATCGATCACGTTTCACGGCTAAGTAAAATAAGCCCTTCACGCTTCACGCAAAAAGTATAGGGGGCCCGATCACGTTTCACTTTGACATAAGAGAATATACAGACCACATGTATTAGAGAATACAGACCACAAATTTGATAAATAGCTTTAATTGTGACATTGGCTTTACTGTAATTTGTTGATCGATGTTCTAACAGTAATAAGCGAGAATTTGTTGATCGATGCTCTAACAGTAATAAGCGAGAATTTTTTTCTTTGTGAAAGATAATGCTAACTTTATATTATGCATGCTGGTGTGGGACACTGCATGTTAGTTTGTTTAGATATCAATATATATAATATAGTGTTAATATACATAGGAATATGTTGCACTAGAGATATAATGCCTCATTGCTTAATTCATGGAGGCCGAAAAAAAGGCTAAACCCGTGATAATCTGATTGTATATACCGCCTGATAATACGCATTTCCCTGAGGCTAAGATTTTTTGTACATTCATCTGAAAATTTTTATACTTTACTACTTGCCAACCTCCTACCCATCTACTAGTTTTAAATATGATGAACTATTGAATTAAATAGTATTTTCAAAGATAAATCATCGACAGTTTTAAAGTGAGCATTCAGTCTCTGTTTGGCAGTGGCATATTTACATTGTAATTTGTGGCAAAAAGTAACTTTTCAAAATTTTATCAATCTTCAATAAACAAGACGCGTACTATTAGTAAATCGGCACAGAATGTATCAACGTTTGCAAACAGCAAATCTAATGGCATATTTTAGAAACAGATAGAAGCTAGAGAAAATATAAAAAACGTTGACGGCGACTGACAGGTTTGATATCAATATATGTTTGAGAGAGATTACCCAGCTTCAAACTTTAAAGTATACGATTTATTTGTTTCTTGACTTGACTGTTGATAAAATGCTACAGTGTTTTCGTAATTTAAAAGCAAACAGAAGTATAAAGTAGAAGCTAGCGGGCGTTTCTAACTATGTATCGTAAAATCCCACTCCTGGTATTCGAAATTTAACGTTTTCTGTGGAAGCATGTAATTTGATACTTTGCCACTCCCCCTTGGGCAATTAATTTTTGTAGAGTCACGTGACCAGACAATACCAGGGTCTTCCCCAAAAAGACCCTGGGTACGATGATGTACTCTAACGGGCTAATAAGAGCAACAACGAAATTCTCAATCGCACCACGAAGAAGGCGATGTAGCTAGCTCAGAAAAGATCTCATAGGATCTGATAAATAAGACTTTTGCTAAAGCCAGTTGGCAGAGGAGCAAAGACATCTTAGCTGTCAACAACAAGCTTTCGAAAACATGACTAGTTTTGCTGTTCTTTCAGCGTCGTGTGTCCAAACTTCGTCAAAGATTTTGATCATTTAAAGCCCTTTCAAAATACTGTTTGTTTGATTTATTTTCTGCCATAAAGCATAAAAGAAAAGAAAATCGAAGAAATTCGATAATGTAAAATTTGATACATGCATGCGTTTGACCTTAATTGTCGCCTTGACCGAGCTATTTTAAAAACCATTGTTTATGTGAACTTGCAACCAATCAAAATCTTTCATGATGCTGCTCAACTAATCAGATTTCCCGTCCACCAGATGGACGGGAATCCCACAGTTTAGACAGGTTTTGTGTCAGGCCCTATTTATAATTAGGGCCTGAACTTCAGGTTACTGTTAATTCTGCGAATCAAGCAATGTCCTAAAATATCACCTTTTCCCCTATACTGACATTAAAAGTAACAGCGACAGTGACAGCAACAGTAACGCTAGATAATACAGCAAAAAATTCATGCAGTAACACCAAAATTAGCGAACAGTTTAGTTTACAATTCATTATTAAATTAACGAATATTTTACCATGATTGTCCATAGGTGACTATTGTTACAATTCTTACTGTGGCTCGTATCATTGTTTCGAAGTCGCATGCAGCTGGTACCAAGAAAAAGATAATGTAAGTTACATCATTTTGATAAAATGATGAAATTTTGACATTCACAATGGTTATGTTGTTAAAAATTGCCTCAATTCACTGCTAATAACATACATGAAATAAATGTTCAATTCCGATTGGCTGAGTGGAGAAAAAAGGAAATACAGTTTCAGCAAGACTAAGACCTCGATTCCCACCGTGGCCAGGCATATTTTGCAAGCTTGCCCGGTGTGGATAAATTATACACTGACTCAGAGTAACATCACAAGCATCATATTCACCTGAGTACATTACACCAACACAGAAAAAATTCATGATTACTAGATTACATCGTTATCGAAGGAACTAGACTCAGCCGAAATGTCACATACTCGAACCGACCTGACCGCGTAGCTCAGTTGGCAGAGCATTGGGCTAGTATTCCAAAGGTCGTAGGTTCGCTCCCACCGTAGCCGGGCATATTTTTCAAGCCTGCCCGGTGTGGATATACACTCAGAGTAACATCACAAGCATCATATTCACCTGAGTACATTACACCAACACAGAAAAAAATTCATGACTGTGTATACTTGACAACGGGGAAGATTTTTACTTTTTTGACGGACGTTTGGTGTTCCGTGAACTGAAAAACACCTTGAGAATATCGTAAGATGCGAGTGCTACGGCAAAACGTTTGCTTCAAACAATAGAAAAAGAAGATTTCAACCAGTTCGATTTTTCAAAGACCTCAAATAGCACTCGTTTAATTTTTTGTCGGACTCGTATTATTTTCATATAGTCTTTGAAAAACTCACTCGTCCATGTTTTATCCAAAATGCACTCGAAACCATACCAATAGTTCTATTACCTAGACAAATATGTGAAATCTGTCATATTCATCGCCTTGTACTCGTACCCGACAAAACGAGCATAGATTAATTTTGCAATATAATGTCTTGAGATTTAACAAAGCTGTAACTTCGATGTATGATGTACGTTTGGAATTAAGGTATTTTCATAATATATTCTCTAGTTCTGCCGCCTGTGGTGTTATTATTTTATTACTTACTCTTGGCCTCTCTTGGGGATTCAGTGTTATCGCAGTTAATCATGATGCCTTGGTCTGGAAGTGTCTCTTCGCAACTTTTGCTTCGTTGCAGGTAAGAGAGAAAATAACAATTCCTAAGTGTTGATCAGTTACGCAAATCATTTCACATGTGAAATTTTTAGTGGAATTGAAAAGTTGACATGTGAAATGGCCATTTCATATGTGAAATTCACAATTTTTACATACAAAAAAAGCTCATATCAAAATTAATGTCACATGTGAAATTCTTATTTCTTATGTGAAATTACTATTTCTTATGTGCATGGCGCATGTACTACACAGCAAAAAATCGTTTTCTTATTTTAAGAAAAAAAAACTTATTTCAAGATTTTTTATCTTGAAATAAGAAATATTTTCATGGGAGAATAGCGAGAAATAATTTCTAGTCAAGAAAACATACCTAGAAATTATTTTCTTAAACCAAGAAAATAAATTTTCTTGTTTTAAGTAAATAACAACAAATATATTCAAACCTTTTTCTTGAAACAAGAAATTTCATTCTCATACCAAGAAATAGTGAGAAAGAATTTCTTAAAATAAGAAATGTTGATACCTTGTTTTAAGAAAAACAAACTTGATTTAAAAAAATATGAAGAAGGCTCTGCATGAGTAACTCAACGATTAAACTGTAGATACTGTAGGTACAAATTAGTTTCAGATTCCATATAATACATTCTTTAATCCTGTTTATTTTGATATTCAAGAATTCTGTAATTTAATTTTCTTGAATTGAGAAAGTAGGAGAATAGCAAGAAAAGTTTACTTTGTGTAAGAAAATATTTCTTGAAAGATATTTTCTATTTCTTGAAAGATATTTTCTTGAAACAAGAAATTAAATTTCAAGAAATATTTTCTTATTGAGTAATCATTTTCTTACTGAGTAAATATTTCTCGCTATTCTCCCACTTTCTCAAAACAAGAAAATATTACTTGAATTAAGTAAATATTTCTTAATATGGTACTGCAAATTGCACTGATGTTGTTTGGGATTCGGTTGTCCTTAAAAACAAGAAATTGTAGGACTGCCAATCTTAGCTCGTGTTGTTTGGGATAATCAAAATCCATTAAGGGCTAAAAGGCAACAACAGCTTCTGCTATTTGACCAACATCGGTACGCAGCAAAATGTGTTTTCCAACAATGAGATATATACTTTCCTGATCAATCAGGATGACAGGAAGATTGCCAATTTGTTTCTGACAAAAGGAATTTGGACTTTCATGGTCCTAAAAAGTAAAAACAAAAGAAACTTTATACACAATTATTTAGAACAATCTATCTGAAAGGATCTTTTTGGTGTTTCTGAAGTATAAGAATACACATGCTAGCGTAGATACACTAAAATAGATCATTAGGGGCCTTCCTGCAATTCATGAACTAGTTCAATCATTTTTTTGACAACTTCGGTCTTGGAAATATAGCGGAAATCTTCTTCAATCTTTATATGTACCATTTTTACATCTGCCAAACAATACAAATATTTTGTTTATTAATATTAACAGCGCTGGAAAACTGAATTAAGCTGGACCTTCTGGGGCTTTGCAGGAAAGTTTGGCAGATATTTCTGTATTTCTGTTAACTTATTGGTTGGCAATGTGCTAGATTTTATTCTTTTACTCTGTCTATAGAAAGACATGCAGATGATTTTACCTGTCAAGGGGGGATTCTTGAAACCGTGAGAATAAAATAGCAAAGTAGAGAATGTATATTTCCAGTCAATGGGTCAGCAAGAGAAATTGGGGAAAATATTTATCATGGCGAGAAATTGTGGACATGCATGCGCACTAACCGCTTGGACTTGTAAACAAAATGGCCACCATAATATTAGAGACTTATATAGCAAAAATTATAATATGATGATATAGAAATCTCATTCGGTATCACGACATTTATCTTCAAAGCAAGCGTAAAGTAAAATATATAGCGCAATAGGCAACATATCTCAAGCGAGCCACGACGAATTCCGATTTCTTACTCTTCTGAGCTACGGACGCAAAATGTTGGATATTGTTTGGCTTGTCAATACAATATGTGTTTCTAGGGACCATTCATGTCAAATCTCTGTGATTAATACGTGGCTTAGTATTTTAACACAATTTTAGTGCAATCTCGATGTATTTTAACCGTGAAATTCTACACCGGGCACTGAAACTTGCCTAAAAGGTGCATGAACATAAACAAACCAAAGTTGGTCGTCCTTCTTCGAAATATTCCTCCATTTTGTATGCTTTAAAGATGCCTCTGCCAAAGAAGAGCTTTGTAAACATGCCTTATAGTTTCTAGGCAACAAAATTTTATATATTCGTAAACATTGTCGGCATAAAGACTTCAGATACAGGTTAAAGTGGGTATATAATTTTTTGCACAAAGGTCAGATGGGTCAATCGAGCAAAACATAATAAACACTGAAATTTTTCGGATGTCTAGCGTTTCTGTTTGCCCAGGCCAGCTAAAAATTCTTATGAATGGGGGTTTAACCATCCAATAAATAATCCTGAGTGGTTTAAAAAAGCGGTATAAGCCACTGATGGAAACCAAGACATTTATGAAGGCAGAATATATAATACTTATAAGCTCTGCCCCCTAATGTCCACAATTTCTCGCTATGTCCATTTAGTGATAAGACTCTCCCCTAGACATATTGCAAGTAAAAGGGTTAGTACTTCTACAATGAACCCATTGACTGGCAAACGTGCCATTAATTTAAGATACTTTAATTACTCATTCAGTCTGTCTTTAGCCAGAGAGTCTTCCAGCTTGTCAAGAGGAGGGTCTTGCAACTTAATGGTTTACTTTTAAAATTATAATGGACTTAATTTAAACAAGCATACTGTACTTACATAGTTTTGGACTTCGTGGAGGAGTTATTCCTTTGCTGATACCATAAGACACTAAAAAGTCAATTTCCGATAACAGGTGCTCAACACTCCCATCTGCGAACTGGCATCATGCAACACAATCGAGATTCAAGATTCTTAACTTCTTGTTTCCTCAATTATCTAAAAAATATAAATTATATGTACTGTATTATATATTTATGAGTGGGAATATTATTCCAATATTACATGTATTCAAACTTACCACAGAGCCAGAGTTTTTTCTGGCCGGAGGTGAAAAACCCTGGAGTTAGCACAGCACTAATATTTTGTAATGTAATGTTTGTTATGGACAGTTTATAGTGTGCTTATATAATTTATCTCAATTCACAGTTTATACAGTATAAAACTAAAGAGATTTAAGAGAACAAGAATATTCATACATCTGTGATGGTTTAACCTTTGCTTGCAATCACAGCAGCTGGCATGCAATTTGGGCAGGCATTTTTTAATTCTGTTTCGTCATTGGTCTTGGTCGCTACGGAGTCATATGACGTAATATGAGAAAGCGCGCGAACCGGAAGATCAGTTGTGCAAGAACCCTTGCAAGGTCAGTTACGAAGAAAAACCAGAGAAATATTTTACATTTATTACTGCAAGAACGTTGAATTATGGATGAAGAGAACAACCAACTAGAACAGGAAATCACTTCTGCAGATCAGGAAGAAGATCTACTTGCTGAAGGCGATGAAAATGTCGAGGAAAATCCAGAAATGGAAGCCGGACAAGAGCGCCTCATGGCCATGATGGCTGATATGAACGACAAAATGGATTCGTTTCTTACGCGTCTTTCCCGGGTAGAAGCTGCCCATGGAAGACCAGCAGCTAAGAAACGTCGTGTAGTGGCGAGGCCTGACAATCTGGAAGATGAGAATAACCTTTCTGCAGCAGAAAGGGGGTTTTCTGATTCAGAAAGATTAACCGACGGCACAAAAGACGGCAAAGCGCCCAAAACCCCAAACACCTCAGCAGCTGAGGATGAATTACTGAGCGAAATCGCTCAAGATTATGCCGAGGAAACACAAACAAGCGACGATGTTAGCCAGACGCTGGCAGAAATCGTTAACCAACGTTGGTCGTCAAAATTAGAAGAGCCTAAATTAAAAGATAAAATGGATAAATATGATCGGCCAAAAAATTGTGAGAAGCTCACTGTGCCGAGGGTAAATCCTGAGATTTGGTCAACACTAAACCATACGGTTCGTGGTTCAGACCTAAAATTAGTGAATTTTCAGAAAACGCTTGTCAAGGTTGGGGTTGCTTTAACGCAATCAACCAAAGCTCTGCTGTCAATGCGAGCTACACAGTCAAGTTCAGACGCTGAACATAAACAACAACTTGGCAAGCTGGTGACGTATAACACCGATGCCTTGGCAATGCTTGGCCATATTCATATGGAATTATTGAACCGCCGCCGTGAGTTGATCAAGCCGAATTTAAACAAAGAATATGTTTCTTTGTGTTCGCCTCAAACTCCCATAACGGAGCTCTTATTTGACGACGATTTACAGGCTCAAATGGCCAGTATCAAGGCCGCAAATAGGATTAGTCAGTCTACTACAAGTAGTTCGAAATTTAATCCCAACACGCGGCGCCCCTTTGAAGGTGCAAAAAACCGCTTGAAAGGGAAACCATTTGCACACAGCAGTCACACCAACGGTAAGCCTTTTTTATGGCAAAATCGGGGCAACAATTATCGTCCCTACCCGCAGAACAAACCAAAGTTCCCAGCGGGCAAGAAAAAGAGCTACCAGTGGCAGTGACTGAGACGACAACAAATTTTCCCAATATTTCGCAGGTAAACGTCTTAACTGTTAATACACTTGTATCATATTTCCAAAGTAAAGTTGCTTGCTTTAAGGCAGGTAGACTCAGTCTATTTTATAATGAATGGGAGAGTATAACCTCAGATGGTGAGGTTTTACACATGATATCCGGACAGAAGCTTGAATTTTCGAAACAACCCTATCAGTTGTACGTTCCGCGGGATAAATCAATTGTCAATGCCTGCTGGGATTCTGACCAAACACATACGTGTGAGGTAGAGATACAAAACCTGCTAGAAAAGGGTGCTATAGTACCTTGTGAACATGAGAAGGGAGAGTATATCTCACCAATCTTTACGACCCCAAAAAAGGATGGGTCATCAAGAATGATTTTAAACCTTAAAGGTTTAAACCAATTTATAGAATATCGCCATTTTAAAATGGAATCCTTCTCTTCTATTGTAAACATGGTAAAGCCCAACTGTTTTATGGCTAGTATAGACCTAAAGGATGCCTATTACTCAGTGCCAATAGCAGCAGAGCATCAAAAATATTTAAAATTTTCATGGGAGAGGCAACTATATAAATTTGTTTGCTTCCCAAATGGCCTGGCATTTTGCCCCAGGAAATTTACAAAGCTGTTAAAGCCAGTTAATTCCCACTTGCGGCAGCTGGGGCATATATCGGTCAGCCACATAGATGATTCTTATTTACAAGGTGACGATTATGATGACTGTGCCAACAATGTTTTAGATACAACTAGGCTCCTTGATTCTCTGGGGTTCATTATACACCCTGATAAATCATCATTTATACCAAACCAAGTAGTAACCATCCTTGGTTTTAAGATCAACTCAACTGTAATGAGGGTCTTTCCAACTGCAGAAAAGATAAAAAAGATACAGGCATCATGCTTAGAGTTGTTACACAGTCCATCACCCAGTATTCGCCAGGTTGCATCAGTGTTAGGATTATTAATCTCTAATTTTCCTGCTGCCCAATTTGGCCCTTTGCAGTTCAGAGATCTGGATATGGATAAAACTGAGGCACTCAAACAAAATCAAGGAAATTTTGATAGACCTATGAAGTTGTCCAAAACCTCATGTGCTGATTTACACTGGTGGATTAATTCAGCTGACAGTTTATTTAAACCTATTGCCCTCAACCAACCAGATGCTACTTTGTTCACTGATGCATCCAGTCAAGGTTGGGGTGGAGTTTTAGGTGAACAAAAAAGTGGGGGTCATTGGACTGCACTTGAAGCTAGTCACCACATTAATTATTTGGAAACGCTTGCCGTTTTCTTTGCCCTTAAAGTATTCCAAACAAAACTGTCGGGAAAACATGTGTGTGTTAGGATAGATAACATGACTGCTGTAGCAGACATAGGTAAACTGGGTACCAGTCATTCTCGCAAACGCAACACTTTAGTTCGCGAGATTTGGGATTGGTGTATTCAGCATGATATCTTTCTAACTACAGCACATATACCAGGCCTTGAGAATGAGGCAGCAGATGCAAAATCTAGAAAGCCCTTGAAAGAAACTGAATGGGCTTTAGATCGAGTAATCTATCAACAGGGTATCCAACTGTTGAATATGACTCCCGTTATTGACCTATTTGCTTCTCGACTTAATTATAAAGTTAAACCTTTTATTGCATACCAACCAGACCCTGAAGCTCAAGCTGTTAATGCATTTACAATTTGTTGGAAACCATATTTATTTTATGCCTTTCCTCCATTTAGCATAATTCCTTTAGTACTACAGAAAATTCGAGAAGAGGAGAGCACAGGGTTACTTGTTGTTCCAAAATGGCCTGCACAGCCTTGGTGGCCATACCTAATGCGGATG